AGCTGAGGGACAGCGCCCAGGCCCAGAGTTCAAGCCCCACGACCGACCAAAAAATAAAAATAAAAAAAAATTTTAAAACCCCTCCTCAGCCTGTACATGGCATCGTCCAAGTTTCATAACAGTACAAAAGCACACACAAAAACTACCTACACACTCAATGTGTCTAACCTAACATTAAAAAATTCAAAGTTTCAAAATTGGCACGTTTCTGAATGCTGGCATGATATCCAGAAGCTTTCTGACTCCGGAACGCTGCGGGTTTGAGGGTTTTGAATTAATAATGCTCAGCCAGTAGAGCAAAACCTCTGAGATCTCCACAATCTAAGCCTTGCCCCACGCTTGTGTGTAAGGGGCACACCACGTGCCCGGGTGTGTGCAGCGGGGTCTGTATGCAACAAGAGAGGTGCAGCAACATGCTAACCCTCCCCAAGTTGGACAAAAGGACGAGGGCTAACGTCCCTCTCTTTTTTCAGAGCCTTGCACAAAAGCTCTCTACCACTTGAGCCTTTTGTGTTGGTTAGGGTCCTGGCGTGACGCGTGGGCCAGCCCCTGGAAATGTGATCCTCCTCCTTTGCTCCCCAGTCACCGGATGACAGGCACACAGGGACGCACGCAGGCATCGTGCTCTGCCTGTAGCTGGGATCACAGCTGCACATACCTTTAAACTCCACCCACCAGCTCACCAGCTGGGTTTTAACCCTCAAAATTAACCAGTCCCCACAAGCAATGGCTACAGATCAGGAGAGCAACAGCATGTTGATAATATGAAGCTAGACATCCAGCCGCTGCCGTGGAAACGGTGAGATTCCAACCCACAGGTGGTGGTTAAGGCAGTGGACGGGCCCTGCCTGCAGGGGTGAAGAGGGCTCGGGAAGGGCGGAGCCAGCAGCACACTGCTGAAGTTGAAGGAATTGTATAAGGCAGAGTTATTAAAGGTGAAGTCTGAAGTTCAGTCACTACTACCACTTACATCTAAAACAGCACAGAAGCCAGACACTGGTGGCTCACACCTGCAATCCTAGCTACCCAGAAGCCAAGATCTGAGGATCTCTGTTTACAGCTAGCCTGGCCAAGAAAGTGCATGAGACGTTTGTTTCCAAATAACCAGCAAAAAGCTAGGAGTGGAGTAGTGGCTCACTGATAAAGCACTAGCCTTGTGTGAAAGAGCCAAGTGAGAGCGTAAAGCCCCAGGTTCAAGCACATGAAACAAAACGAAAGGAAACAAAAGCCATACACAGCCCGCCATGCCCACATGTGCCGCATGGAGACAGCTCGCTACCGACGCGTCCACCCACACCTCTCATCCCCTTCCTCCCCAGCATGCCTTAAAAACATGAGCGTGCGTTTCCTTAGCTAAAACTCCGATGTTGAGAGACAGGGCAGATAAAAAGCAAACGGTAGGGCAGCCAGTCGAGGTGGGCAGACGTCTGGGGGGGGGGAGGGGGCTGTAGGCACTGGCGACTTACCAAAGGCTTTGGCCACAGCAAGGCTCTCCAGGAGGCCCATGAGGGGCACCACAGCCAGCCCAGCCCCCATGTCCTGGCGGGGAGAGAGGGAGGTGAGGGGCGGCCCCCGCTCAGGGAGGGCCTGGGTGGCCACGGCTGGAGCCCCGGGTCAGCACGCCCGTGGCCTCCGCTACGCCGGGCCCATCTCCATCTCTTCCATTTCCCGCTGCCCCGCGCTCTGCTCACCTGCACCATCTGGGTGAAAGAGACTGTCCTGTTGGCTGTAGTCACGGAGAAAGGAGGGATCCGCACGGGAGGGAGGCCCCCGGCTATGGCTCCAGTTAGCGTGAAAGGCTGGGATCCCGTCTCCTCGAAGGCGTATGCCACCAGAGCCGCGAAGGAGACCACCAGGGCATTGCGGGCTGCGGGGGGGGGGGGGGAACGGGGGGACTGGTGAGTCGTGGCAGAAACAGGAATGTACCTGGGGCAAACCTACTTCACAGGCGGGGACTCCACCCAGCCATAACCCCAGGAATATCCGTGCAGTACACACAGCTGTGCAAGGGTATCAGCCCCGTGAAGTGTATCAGCCCCGTGAAGTGCACACAGGGGATGGGGATAAAGAAAGCCGGCTGTGGTGGCTGTGACCGCTCATGCCTGTAATCCCTGGGGTGTGGGAGGCAGAAATAAGGAGGATCAAAGTCTGAGGACAACCCAGCAAAAAATTAGGAAATCCCACCTCAACCAATACGCCAAGTGTGGTGGGTTCAATAACCCACTTGTAATTCTAGCTACAAGGGAGGCAAACAATGGGAAACCCTGCTTGAAGAATAAACCCTATAAATTATTTATTTATTTTTTTTGGGTCCAGTCGTGGGGCCTGAACTCAGGGCCTTGGTGCTGTCCCTCAGCTCTTCAGCTCAAGGCTAGCGCTCTGCCACTTGAGCCACAGCGCCACTTCCGGCTTTTTTCTTTTTGCTTATGTGGTATAAATTATTTTTTTAAGCCAAAACAAAATAAAGCCTAAAAGAGTTTGTTGGGGGCGTGGGGGAAGGGAGGAGATGGGAAGGGGAAACCAAGGAGGAGGCAACATGCTTGAGCCAGTGGCTCAGGCCTGTCACCCTAGCTACTCAGGAGGCTGAGATCTGAGGATCATGGTTCAAAGCCAGCCGGGGTAGGAAAGTCTGTGAGACTCTTATCTCCAATAAACCACTAGAAAACCAGAAGTGGGGCTCAAGTGGTAGAACGCTTGAGCTGAAGAGCACAGGGATAGTGCTCAAGCCCCAGGACCAAAAAAAAAAAAGTTAGTTTAAACAAAAAAGATAAATAGGTTAAATAGGTTAAAAGTTTAAGAAAGAGGACTGGGAAGGTGGCTCAGTGGTAGGGCGCTTGCCTTACATGCTTGAGGCCCTGGGTTCAATTCCTCAGCACCACATAAGCAAAAAGAAAAAAGCCAGAAGTGGCGCTGTGGCTCAAGTGGTAGAGTGCTAGCCTTGAGCTGAAAAGCTGAGGGACAGCGCCCAGGCCCAGAGGTTAGGCCCCATGACCAGACCCAAAAAAAAAACAAAAAAGTGTAAAGGCTTCAGAATTTGGGGTGGGGGTCTAAAACTTCACAACCTCTGCCTGGCTGTCACTTTGGACTGGGTGACTTGGAGGCGAAGGCTGAGCACGGCCACTGCCCCTGGAGCCACACTATGTCCCCTGCGAGGAGACAAGGTGACCCCGGACTCCCTCAAAGCCCCTGGACCGTGGCTCACGCCAGCCGGGAGCTTGCACCAGCCCCAGGCTTTGTCACGCCCACCCAGGAGGAGGTCCAGGACCCCGGGGAGCCCATCCCTCGGCCAGCCGGCCCCTCACCTGTGGTGGCCGTCCACACCAGCCCGTGGCTGAGCCGCGCCCCGAGGGGCATCTCGGGGTGGACGGGAGGTGTGTGGTCCCGCATCAGCTTCAGCAGGAGCAGCAGCACCATGCACACCAGACCCAGGACGGCGTCGCCCACCCTGCAGGCAGAGCACCCCTCACCACCACGGAGACGCCTGCGCATGGCTGGACTTCTGGAGCTGGGTGTTCACCCCAAGGCTCCTCCCCCGTGGCTCTCTCCCAGCACCCCCTTCATTCCAAACCCCATCCCGCCAAGTGTGCAGCCCCGCCAGCACCACACGTCACAGCCGCATCTCCCTCCCAGGTCGCCCGCCTATGGCGGCCGAGTCTGAGGACTGCGCGTCGGGAGAGACGCTTGGCGTGTGGTCAGCGGTGTGCTCGGGCAGGCTATGTCCCCTTCGCTGGCCCCCAGGAGGCTGGACCTTCTGGTCCTGAGGAGCTGCAGGTCAGGCCCTCCCCCCACTCTCCCCAGGCCCTAGCATGGTGGGGTCACCCCCTGGACTGTGCCCCCAAGCCATCTCCGGCAGGACAGATGGAAGAGGTGTCCTGGCTTCCACAGGCTGAGGGAAGGCCCCGCAGGAGCCCCCAGTTCCCCGGAGCTCATTCCTGGCTGCCAGCTGACTGTTCTGCTTGCATCCGCGTCCGCTGCTGGTCCTCCTCTGGCTAAGTGAGGACCCTGGAGCAGGAGACTGCGGCCGGTCCCCTTCCCTGGACCCTCCACACCCGGACCGCCCTCCCGCCTCCCACGAAAGCCCTGAGGAGAGCGCCACTGCCCATGAAGCCGGACTCAGCAGGCCTGCCCAGCCGGCTGGCCGCGGCACATGGGGCCCAAGCTATGGTGAGGTGACAGGTGCTCCCCACCTATGTGAGCACCAGGCACCTGAACGCAGAACTGTGCCCTGTGGGTGGAAGGGGGGGGGTCCTGGGAGGGGCTGGAACCGTGCCCTCGTGGGTGGAGAGGAGGGCGGGGCCTGGGAGGGGCCGCAAGAGCTCCTCCTCTGGGGAAGCAGCAACAAGAGGGTACCTGGTGTCTCCAATGCTGAGGAAGATGTGATACACCTGCAGGAGAAACTGCCTGGGGATGTTCTGTAGTCCCAGAAGGTTCTGCTCAAACAGACACTGAGTTAGCACACCTGCCCTCCCACCTGACCCCCAATGTCCCTTCAGCCCGCACCACACGGTGCCCAGGCCCGCCAAGCAATCCCAGACTCCCCGGGGCTCTTCCTGGGGCCCAGCTACGTCTATCAGTACTTCCAAAGGACCCCAGGACCCAAAAGACCTCTCTTAAAGCCCCAAGGACAACAACTAGCTTTGAAAATGACTGAACCAGCCGGGCGCTGGTGGCTCACGCCTGTAATCCTAGCTACTCAGGAGGCTGAGATCTGAGGATCGCAGTTCAAAGCCAGCCCGGGCAGGAGAGACCGTGAGACTCCTATCTCCAATAAACCACTAGAAAACTGGAAGTGGCGCTGTAGCTCAAGTGGTAGAGCGCTCGCCTTGAGCTGAAGAGCTGAGGGACAGTGCCCAGGCCCAGAGTTCAAGCCCTACGACTGACCAAAAAAAAAAAAAGAAAATGATTGAACCTCAAGTTCAGGTCACTTCAAACCAGCAAACAAACAAAAAAACCCAGTCTGGGTCACCCAGGAGCCAACGCAGTTTTACAGCTACAAGGCCAAAGGTCCTAGGCCATTTGACCCTGTCCTCACCCTACAGCCATTGGACCAAGGCCATGTCAGTCACCCTGAACTGCCCCCTGCAGGAAAGAAAAACCACATTGGAAGCTGTAGGTCACACCTGTAATCCTAGCTACTCAGAAGGCTGAGATCTGAGGATCAAGGTTCAAAGCCAGCCTGGGCAGGAAAATCTGTGAGGCTCTTATCTCAAATTAATCACCAGAAAACCAGAAGTGGCGCTGTGGCTCAAGTGGTAGAGCGCTCGCCTTGAGCTGAATTGCTGAGGGACAGAGCCCAGTTCAAGTCCCAGGACTCAACAACAACAAAAAAAAATCACACTGGCTGTCCTCAGAATCTGGGCAGAGATGGCTGGCCAGGCCTGGCCTCCAGGGCTGCAGCCCTGGGACCCTCAGGAGGAGCTTCTGCCCCTGGCTTTAGTTCTTTCTGTTGTCTGAGGCCTGCCCCAGCGCTGCTGCACACAGGGACTGGGCAGAACAGTGCTGGATTGTGGCAGCTGAGTGAGGAAGGAAGGTGCTCTGACCTGGGCATGTCAGAGCGCTCCGCAACCTAAGCAACTCTGTAAAAACGTGGGGTGGGGCTACAGCTGCCAACCAGAAAAGCACCCACACTGGCCTTGTGGTTACAGAGTAGAATGCTCCAGGGAAGAGGAGGAAACGTTGCTTATGCTAACAATGAATTTGTTACAATCAAAGCATCAACCACATCTGCAGGGCAGACCTTGTGTATATACTCTCACCTACACGTTCCAAGTCGCTTCCTCCCCGGCAACGGACACAGTAACAAGCCTGACTGCCCAAGCAGAGCCGGGCACAGCCCAGCCAGCTGGGCCACTCACTAAGCACATTCTCCCGGCCTGGATTCTCTGCTGCACCAGGGAAGACACAGGCCTGTGGAGAGCCCTGGCCCTGGGAAGCCTGCTTTGCTGGGATGTGGGGTGGTGACACAGGGTCACGAGGCTGGGGTGTGGCCGAGTGTGACAGAAAGGGCTCCAGGGCCCCATCTGCAGACGAGTTCACAGCCACTCGGTCCACGCCCATCCAGCACTCGCTCACCCCTATCATACCACGAGCAGTCCTGGGAACCAGGGGTGGGCAGCACGGGACCCAGCCAAGGAGGGTAAATCCCCCGGGGGAGTTGACCATCACAGACTATAGCACTTTCTATAGCTATCTTAGGGCAAACAGAAACATGAAAAACCCAATCCAAGCCCTTCCTTGTGGGGAAATGGTTTTCTGAGGCAGCCTACTGCCAAGGGTGGCAAGGGTACAAAGAAACCCTGTGACACCGGACAAGCTCCCTGGCCCAGATACTCAGGGAGAGTCGGGGTGCAATTACCAACCCCTAAGTTTTCTGCTGTGAAACCTGACCATCACACAACCATCTCCCCCGGAAGGGCTGTTTTGCCCAGCACCAGTGGCTCACGCCTGTCATCCTCTCTACTCAGAAGGCTGAGATCTGAGGATTGAGGTTCAAAACCAGCCCGGGCAGGAAAGTCCGTGAAACTTTTTTTTTTTGGGGGGGGGGGTCCAGTCATGGGGCCTGAACTCTGGGCCTGGGCGCTGTCCCTCAGCTCTTCAGCTCAAGGCGAGCGCTCTACCACTTGAGGCACAGTGCCACTTCCGGCTTTTTTCTTTTTGCTTATGTGGTGCTGAGGAATCGAACCCAGGGCCTCAGGCATGCAAGGCAAGCGCTCTACCACTGAGCCACCTTCCCAGCCCCTCCGTGAAACTCTTATCTCCAATAAACCATCAGAAAATTGGAAGTGGCACTGTGGCTCAAGTGGCAGAGCACTAGCCTTGAGCTGAGGGACAGCGCCCAGGCCCAGAGTTCAAGCCCCACGACCAACAAAAAATAAACAAAAACAAACAGACAAACAAACAACAGAAGGACTGTTTTATAAGGCAACCACCCATCTTATTTTCCTCCATTTATGGAAAAAAATCACCCCAAAGCACAAGATGTCCACTGGCCACCAAAGGTCAGGTCCTACTCCCAGGTTCCCCACTGGTGACCAGCAGAGGTCAAAGGGCAGGGCCCTGGTGGGAGCCGTGCCTACCTTAACCTGCCCGAAGCCAATGGTGACAGCAGCAGCAGAGGTGAAGCCTTTAATGACCGGGCAGGAGATGAAGTCGAGCAGAAACCCTGGCGGCAAGAGGGAGAGCTGAGCTGGCCCAAAGGGCTATCAGGTTCCAGGGAGAAGCGGCATGGGAGGGACAGGGAGCAGAGGGTCCAGCAGCAAAGGACTGCTGAGTGATCACCCCCCCCGCCCCCCACCGTGATAGTCCAGGGAGCAGGGGAGGGAAGATGGGGTGAGCCGCCTCCCACATACAAGCCGGGCCTTCGGGGCCAGGAAGGAGATGTGAGGTCAAAGGCAGCGGCAGGGGCCTGGGTACCCCGGGAAAGCAGAGCGGAAGTTCCCCCCCACAGCGGGCAGGCGGAGTCTCACCCAGTCGCAGGAAGCCCATGGCCAGCTGGATGCAGCCGGACAGGAAGGCCAGCAGCACGGCGTAGGCGGGCTCGTGGACGGTATAGAAGGACACCAGCAGGGACATGATGGCCGTGGGGCCCAGAGTCACATCACGGGAGGTGCCCAGGAAGAGGTACACGAAGCATCCCATGAAGGCAGAGTAGAGGCCGTACTGGGGGGTGGGGAGGAAAGAAGGGGGTGGTAAGCAGCCTGGATGCCCAAGGCCTGACCACCCACCCCGGCGTCCCTGCCATCCCTGGGATCAGTGTACTGGGACAGGCCAGCTGACCCAGGCAGGGTGCACCCCTGCCCCATTAGCCACCACCTCCGCCTTGCAGCGAACATGAGACATGTCCTACCAGCACTGACCGGGGCCTGGGGTGGCTCTGCCGCCTCTGGGTGGGTCAGTGGCCTGAGCCCATGCCTGTGATTCTGAGAAAGCCTCCTGGGTCCACCATGAGCCACCGCACTGCCCCAGCTGCCCATCCAGACCCACCTTGGGCTCAAAGGCCGTCCCGAGTTAGAGGTGACAGGCCAAGGGAGCAGGGGCTGGGGTGGGGCGCACAGAGGCGTCTGGACTCCATCTTCCGGTTCCACTCAGCCTGTGGACAGGCACTGAGGTCTGGTGCGCAGGGGGTCAGACACCCACCTGGGGCGGGAGTCCGGCCACTTCGGCATAGGCCAGCGCCTGGGGGATGACCGTGAGCCCCACGGAGAGCCCGGCGATGAGGTCCATCCTCAGCCACCGCGCAGAGTAGCTGGGCAGCCAGGCCAGGATGGGCAGACACCGCCGCACGGCTGCTGGGGAGCAGCGGGCCCTGGGGGCCATGGCCCGATCCCAGGCCTTCACAGAGGGCATCCTAGGGTGGGGCTGGAGGTGGGCCACACAGACCCCATCAGGAGCTGGGTATCTGCGACCCCCACAATCCCACGGGAGCCGCGGGCACCCCAAGTCACACCGCCTGTCCTCCCTCAGGAGCCAAAGGGTTAGGCTGCCCAGGGGCCGTGGGGCCACCCCGCCCCTCACCCTCCAGCGTTCCCGGTACACCGTCAGCTTCCCAGACACCCTGACAGACTTCCTCACGCCAAAGGGGCCAAAGTCTCCTTCGGGAGAATTCCTCCCTTTCTCCCTCGCTTTTTTCCCTTTCCAGAGAACTTAAGTCCCAGAGAGAAGCACGACCCTGGACATAGGGCCTGGCTTGAGGGGATGGGGGGGCGGAGGAGGGGGTGCCATGGGTGGCTGGAGGCTCCCCCATGGGGAGCCCCGGGGGGGGGACGGAGGATCC